AAGCGGACATAAGAGGGTTTTAGAGTTAACCAATATCAAAGTAGGGCCCATTTTTTATGCCCACCCAATATATATTCGTGACTCTGGATTCACTTTTCAGTAACTGGATGTAACTACATTTATTAACATACAGTAAATATTTGGATACACATCGACCTCCTGATTGATGAAAATGGCAAAGTAAAAGTTTCCTCTGGCGGAAGTTCATCCATTTTGTTATAAAAAACGTAGCATCTTTAAAACCAGGTGGAGACCAGTGTCTTTTGTATTGTAAATAATGTTAGTGATGGCATATGAAAAATAGTATGCTATAAAAACAACCTAATGGATCAGTGTATAAACAACCTTTATTATAAGCATGGGCTTTCAATTTTTCGAGTTGATAGCCCATGTTATTAGCTAAGTGATAACATAGAGGAAACAGGGGTATAAAAATAACAAAATTGACAATACGGGATGATAACAATATAGCAAGAGAATTAAAGGAACAATGCGGCCAAATGGTGTCACAATGTACATGTTGTATAGTAGTAAATGAATAAAGCCCACAAGTTGCTCACTCATGCATCTCAAACTCATGACCTCATGGTTACCGCATCCTCCGATCACAGGGCTTCAAAATCCAGAATATTGTTCTTTTTACCCACTGCGATAAGCAATTAGCATTTCCCCGATTAAGAACTTGCAATCTGATTGGCTGTCACAACACTGCGACAGAAATCATGTATAAGTCATTGCGCATAACTACTGTAGAACACGTGATTCAGTTTAATCGGGCGCTTCCAAATTGGTTATAGCAGGGGGAAGAAGGATCAGTACAGATTCTGGATACCTGCTTCGGAGGATGGGTTACCGCAGCAGCACCTAGATTAGCATAGTGCTCTAGACCGCTCGACCAAATCAACAAAAAAGCCTGTTTCATTTGCCAATCTGACTCGAGGGAACAAGTATTAACGCTCAGCACATATCCATACACACATTCACACACAGCTCAATAGAAACTTAACAATGTAGGAAAGACCTTATTTGACTCACATTAATTTTTTGTTGATTGACACCAAGTCTTTCATACTCCTTCATTAATATAAGACAACAATCTAATTAAATAGACAACAGGATGATCACAATGTAATGAATTGTAATACACAAATCAGGAAAACCATTAATGAACTCACCGTGAAATATTCTCAAGTTACCTATAATGATTGGAAGATGAGATTTTCATTAATTAACATCTCCCATGGATTCCTGCAAGTAGCAAATGACCAAAGGATTATAGCATCTTAGTATCTAACAGCTCAATATATTCATCGTACAATCAGAGGCAGTCATATATGATAGAAATTGTTAGAACTTCAATTAGCAAGAAAGTGCAGCAAACTCCTTGTTGAGATCGTAAAGATGTGCAACTTGGCCTAACCTGGGCCCTGATACAAGAAAATGCAGCAGATCCTTGATTTTAAGATCTCTAAGATGTTATCTTGCCTTGTATTCGCGAATGCAACTAACACCTGCCTGCTATGGGATTAACCTACTTTTTTATGACCAACTCATTTGAATATGAATGGAAAAGTGGCAGGTACTATTCATAATTAAAGGGTGACGCATATCGTTTAGCAAATCGAACGCTCGTTTGTGGTGTTGCTCACTGTTTAGTAATAACGTAATAGCACACAGCTTGGCATATGAAATATCCTACAAATGAAACCAAGCAAGACAAACCGGTTTCTAATACAAGGATTTATATTGGCTGTTGTACATGTATTCTTTGAATGCAATCACTCTTTGGATAACGTTTTCAAAATCATTATAAACGGATTACTTTATCTCAAAGACAATTTCAATAAACTGGATTTTACAGAACTCCCCTTATTTCTTAAAAATGGACTGATCCAGTTGATTCGCCTGGAGCCGCCATATTGTTTTTATACGGGATGCTAATCGGAACCCTTTTAATGAAATAGTAGGTTAATCCGGCAGCCGACAGGCATTAGTTGGATTTGTGAACTGAGTGATATAGACCGAAGAGCACAGGTAATATTGTCGAATACAACCCGCAGGGCTAGACACAAACGATTTTTGTCCAAAAGCTTTTGTGCCTAGCCCTAAGGGGTGTATTCGACGATATTACACCTGCTCTGAGGTCCATATTACGATTCGAACATGAAAACTCACCAAAATGTTTCGAATATTCATTATAGTCCGCCATTACTACGGGCCACCGTTATTACGTCTCACATTACTCATATTACCAGGGGTTTCATTCACGAATATAACCCAGGTGAAATATACACTTTGTTCACAGATTATAGAAGGCATACCGCTTGACCGAATACCAACACTAAACTTTGGGAGACCTCCCCCTGACCATTGTGGTATCCACAGCCTGTACTATCCCTCAGAATACACAGGGCCTCGATAAAGAGGGACTCTGATAAATGATAATGATGATGGCAGATTATATAGTTTGGCATTTTTATTAATTTCATTGCGCCATAGACAATCAGGGTGCTCACAATGAATTCTTAAAATAAAAATAAAGAGGGACTCTGATAAATGATAATGATGGTATACTGTTGTTATCATTTGGCAGACTATATAGTTTGGCATTTTTATTAATTTAATTGTGCCATAGACAATCGGTGTGCTGACAATGAATTCTTTTAATCATTATAACATTTATTATTATAGAAATATTAATCAGAATGAGATCTTTAAGATGTTAACTTGGCCTTTGCCCTGATACAATCATATAACACACTGATAATTAGCACATTGGTTATTAAGCTCTACAGGTGTTAATATACATGTAATTAATTAATTTTTGGAACCTTCACACATTCTGCAAATCTTACTGTATATTTCCAGAAAAACTATCACACTTTTGAACATGTGCGTGTAAGAAATGTTACATGCAGATGACATTGATCATGAATATAATAAGTCTAGCTCATTGATATATGGCATTTATTGTATTCTTACACCTCCTTATATGGCTTTTTTCATGTTTTCTTTATTTCATGATAATAAGTCATACAATACAGTAGTACAGGGCCTATACCAAGGCATTATTGGCCCTTTTGAAATTAACTATATTACAATACAAATATAAAGCACAGGCCCGTAGCCAGGGGGGGTTCGCAGGGTTCGGGCGAACCCCCCACCCCCTGGCCAAAAATTCTTTCAAAATCATGCAGTTTTTGACCATTTTTAGCACTTCTCTAGTGATTTTAGCCTTATTTGGGCCAAAATTGTCAAATGTGAACCCCCCCCCCTGGAAATTTTTGAAAATTGAACCCCCCCCCCCCCCTTGGCAAATCCTGGCTACGGGCCTGAAGCATGTTTGGAAAAGAAAATAATCAGGAAAATTTTAAAACAGGGTAGAGGAAGGTATATAAATATGAGTTTTGAATTGTGAGTTATTTTTTGACTTCCATGAAGATAGCAATTAGAAATCAGCTGCAAGTTCAATAACCTTTTTTATTTGTAATGGAGTCAAGAGAGGAATCAGCAAAAAGTAAAAGATCTATCCCATCTTCTATATTCTATGATTAAAGAAGTTTAAATTAAAGGATGGCAGTCCCCTGAGTTCTCTGTGCAAGTTGAGTCTTAAATTATTAAAAAGAGGGTATTGGATCAAAAAAGTGTTTGGTCGATTCAGAAGATTGACCACATTTACATTTTGGCATTTGGGATATTTTTAAAGTTATGTGTAAATAGGTGTTGCCTAAAAATTAAACACATCTTCTTGTTTTATTTAGGACAGTTTCTTTTCTCTGTTTAGGTTTAATTTTGGTGTAGTAAATTCTTTCTTTTTACCGTTTAAAAAATATTCTTATTTGATATTTAAAAGAGTTGCGTGAACATGCTAGTTTGAGCTCACCAGGTAACTGATTCCATAACTTAATACAAGATAAGGCTGTGAATTTTCTTAATTTAGTTGATGCTTTAGGTGGGATAATGAAGCTATTTGTGTGTCGCAGTCTAGGATGATTTACTTGATTCCTGTGCTGTTCAAAACCATTTGAGACATATGATGGAATTTTGTAATTTGTTTCAAGGTCAAACATAAAAACCAATTTTTTTCCTTCCTTTGATCAGATAAAGTTCTCCAACCCAGACATGTCATAACTTTCTCAAAATTTGAGCCTTGGATGCATCCACTTACTATAAGACCGGCTCTATATTGGATTCTATCTAAACTTGCTAAGATGTTTAGATTTGCGCTGTCAATAATAATATTGCCATATTCAAGATGTGGGAGAATGAACGCCATGTAAATAGTTTGCAAATGCTTCGATCTTACAGAAAATTTGAGTGCCTTTAATGGATTGAACATTTTATTGAATTTAGTAATTACAGTTTAAGTTGAGTTGTTCTACAAAGGTAATGTTTCTGTCTATGATAAAGCCTAAATGTTTATGGCTGTTTACAAGAGGTATCTGCTCATTGTTCATAGTTACTGGAATTTGTTTCTTGACTTTTTGAGTATACTTTGAATGAAAAATGACCTCTTTGCTTTTGGATGCTTTAAATTTGAGTTTTCATTTCATGGACCACTCAGCCATTTCATTGATGTCTGATTGAATTTTTTGATACGTTTCTTCAACTGCTTCGTTCTTTGGTACTGTCAAGAAAATGGAACTGTCATCAGCATATAAAAAAAATTTGCAATTATGTACAGAGCCAAGTCTTTTATATAGAGCAAAAATAAAAGGGGACCAAGAATTGAACCTTGGGGAACCCCACTATTTATTTCATGAGATTCGGGGCATCAATGTTGACGATTTGGATGAGTTTAGTAACAGGTTCAGCATTAGATGAAATGTCTGAATAAATATCATAATTTGATCCTATCAGTTAGGTATGAGGTCAAAATATCTATAATATTATTGCCTAATCCATAGGATTTCGTCTTATGGATTAACAAGAAATGTGGGACTGCGTCAAATGCAGCTTCTACATCTAAAAAGTTATATGGCATTAATTTCTGCTTTCAGCATCTATCAGTGATGGAAGATATGTTAAAGGATTATCTTCTAGGAGAACATCTACTGCTAGTGGGCAACCAGGGTGTCGGCAAGAACAAGATAATAGATAGGTTCTTATACCTGTTGAATAGACCAAGGGAATACCTTCAGTTACATAGGTGAGTGGGAGGGGGAAGATAATAGATAGGTTCTTATACCTGTTGAATAGACCAAGGGAATACCTTCAGTTACATAGGTGAGTGGGAGGGGGAAGATAATAGATAGGTTCTTATACCTGTTGAATAGACCAAGGGAATACCTTCAGTTACATAGGTGAGTGGGAGGGGGAAGATAATAGATAGGTTCTTTTACCTGTTGAATAGACCAAGGGAATACCTTCAGTTACATAGGTGATTGGGAGGGGGAAGATAATAGATAGGTTCTTTAACTGTTGAATAGACCAAGGGAATACCTTCAGTTACATAGGTGAGTGGGAAGGGGAAGATAATAGATAGGTTCTTATACCTGTTGAATAGACCAAGGGAATACCTTCAGTTACATAGGTGAGTGGGAAGGGGAAGATAATAGATAGGTTCTTATACCTGTTGAATAGATCAAGGGAATACCTTCAGTTACATAGGTGAGTGGGAAGGGGAAGATAATAGATAGGTTCTTATACCTGTTGAATAGATCAAGGGAATACCTTCAGTTACATAGGTGAGTGGGAAGGGGAAGATAATAGATAGGTTCTTATACCTGTTGAATAGATCAAGGGAATACCTTCAGTTACATAGGTGATTGGGAGGGGGAAGATAATAGATAGGTTCTTTTACCTGTTGAATAGACCAAGGGAATACCTTCAGTTACATAGGTGATTGGGAGGGGGAAGATAATAGATAGGTTCTTTAACTGTTGAATAGACCAAGGGAATACCTTCAGTTACATAGGTGAGTGGGAAGGGGAAGATAATAGATAGGTTCTTATACCTGTTGAATAGACCAAGGGAATACCTTCAGTTACATAGGTGAGTGGGAGGGGGAAGATAATAGATAGGTTCTTATACCTGTTGAATAGACCAAGGGAATACCTTCAGTTACATAGGTGAGTGGGAAGGGGAAGATAATAGATAGGTTCTTATACCTGTTGAATAGACCAAGGGAATACCTTCAGTTACATAGGTGATTGGGAGGGGGAAGAGAATAGATAGGTTCTTATACCTGTTGAATAGATCAAGGGAATACCTTCAGTTACATAGGTGAGTGGGAGGGGGAAGATAATAGATAGGTTCTTTTACCTGTTGAATAGACCAAGGGAATACCTTCAGTTACATAGGTGATTGGGAGGGGGAAGATAATAGATATGTTCTTTAACTGTTGAATAGACCAAGGGAATACCTTCAGTTACATAGGTGAGTGGGAAGGGGAAGATAATAGATAGGTTCTTATACCTGTTGAATAGACCAAGGGAATACCTTCAGTTACATAGGTGAGTGGGAGGGGGAAGATAATAGATAGGTTCTTATACCTGTTGAATAGACCAAGGGAATACCTTCAGTTACATAGGTGAGTGGGAAGGGGAAGGTGTAGATAGGTTCTTATACCTGTTGAATAGACCAAGGGAATACCTTCAGTTACATAGGTGAGTGGGAGGGGGAATATAATAGATAGGTACTTATACCTGTTGAATAGACCAAGGCAATACCTTCAGTTACATAGGTGAGTGGGAAGGGGAAGATAATAGATAGGTTCTTATACCTGTTGAATAGACCAAGGGAATACCTTCAGTTACATAGGTGAGTGGGAGGGGGAAGATAATAGATAGGTTCTTATACCTGTTGAATAGACCAAGGGAATACCTTCAGTTACATAGGTGATTGGGAGGGGGAAGATAATAGATAGGTTCTTTAACTGTTGAATAGACCAAGGGAATACCTTCAGTTACATAGGTGAGTGGGAAGGGGAAGATAATAGATAGGTTCTTATACCTGTTGAATAGACCAAGGGAATACCTTCAGTTACATAGGTGAGTGGGAGGGGGAATATAATAGATAGGTACTTATACCTGTTGAATAGACCAAGGGAATACCTTCAATTACATAGGTGAGTGGGAAGGGGAAGATAATAGATAGGTTCTTATACCTGTTGAATAGACCAAGGGAATACCTTCAGTTACATAGGTGAGTGGGAGGGGGAATATAATAGATAGGTACTTATACCTGTTGAATAGACCAAGGGAATACCTTCAGTTACATAGGTGAGTGGGAGGGTTAAGATAATAGATAGGTTCTTATACCTGTTGAATAGACCAAGGGAATACCTTCAGTTACATAGGTGATTGGGAGGGGGAAGATAATAGATAGGTTCTTATACCTGTTGAATAGACCAAGGGAATACCTTCAGTTACATAGGTGAGTGGGAAGGGGAAGGTGTAGATAGGTTCTTATACCTGTTGAATAGACCAAGGGAATACCTTCAGTTACATAGGTGAGTGGGAGGGGGAATATAATAGATAGGTACTTATACCTGTTGAATAGACCAAGGCAATACCTTCAGTTACATAGGTGAGTGGGAAGGGGAAGATAATAGATAGGTTCTTATACCTGTTGAATAGACCAAGGGAATACCTTCAGTTACATAGGTGAGTGGGAGGGGGAATATAATAGATAGGTACTTATACCTGTTGAATAGACCAAGGGAATACCTTCAGTTACATAGGTGAGTGGGAGGGGGAAGATAATAGATAGGTTCTTATACCTGTTGAATAGACCAAGGGAATACCTTCAGTTACATAGGTGATTGGGAGGGGGAAGATAATAGATAGGTTCTTTAACTGTTGAATAGACCAAGGGAATACCTTCAGTTACATAGGTGAGTGGGAAGGGGAAGATAATAGATAGGTTCTTATACCTGTTGAATAGACCAAGGGAATACCTTCAGTTACATAGGTGAGTGGGAGGGGGAATATAATAGATAGGTACTTATACCTGTTGAATAGACCAAGGGAATACCTTCAATTACATAGGTGAGTGGGAAGGGGAAGATAATAGATAGGTTCTTATACCTGTTGAATAGACCAAGGGAATACCTTCAGTTACATAGGTGAGTGGGAGGGGGAATATAATAGATAGGTACTTATACCTGTTGAATAGACCAAGGGAGTACCTTCAGTTACATAGGTGAGTGGGAGGGGGAAGATAATAGATAGGTTCTTATACCTGTTGAATAGACCAAGGGAATACCTTCAGTTACATAGGTGATTGGGAGGGGGAAGATAATAGATAGGTTCTTTAACTGTTGAATAGACCAAGGGAATACCTTCAGTTACATAGGTGAGTGGGAAGGGGAAGATAACTAGACATGTAAATTGAACAAGTTCAATTTAAGACTCCAGATTTAATTCTTTTTTTAAGCTGAGTCATCCAGAATACTTGTAAGCTGAGTCATCCAGAATAAGCTGATCGAGTCAGCTAGTATTTAGACATTTAGACAACTCTCCATTTTTTATCTTCGACTTCATTGGCTTAACATGGGGATATCATCATATCGACTTTTCGAGACTTCAAACCGCTATAACTATCTAACCAGAAGTTAGATTGTATTTTGGTTTAAAGATTCGGACTCCTGAGAAAATTCTACCCTTAATTCATAACTCATACATTAAATTTGGAGATTTTTTTATTTTGACCTACTTTTTGGACACCATATCTCAAAAGTGGGTCAAAATACTTTCTGACGGCAAAAGGCTATCACTATAAGCACACTCTTTGCTACCTGTATACAAAATTTCGAAGCAAATCATTAAAGTGTAATGTCAGAATCGCAAAAATAAGGAAAATTATGAATTTGCCCTAGATTTTGACCTTGGCATTTTGATGTCCAAATTTTAAAGCTAGATAGCCTTCGAGGTCCCCTTCTTTTAAAGGCTTTCAGAATGTTAAGCTGTACTCAGTCTATATCTGGTATTTTAGACTTCAAAAAAATCTTTTTCCCTATTGACATAACATGTGGCACCAAATTTAGCAATTTTCGAGCTTTCAAAACGCTATAACTTTCGAACAGAAAGTCGGATCGAAATTTGGTTTGCAGATTCAGATTCCTCAGAAAATTCTATCCTTATTTCATAACTCATATGCTAAATTCGGAGAACTTTTATTTTGACCTACTTTTCGGACACCATATCTCAAAAGTGGGTCAAAATACTCTCTGACGGCAAAAGGCTAACACTATTAGCACACTCTTTGCTACCTGTATACAAAATTTTGAAGCAAATCCTAAAAGTGTAGTGCCAGAATCGCAAAAATAAGGAAAAACTATGAATTTGACCTAGATTTTGACCTAGGCATTTTGGTGTCCAAATATTGAAACTAGGTAGCTCTTGAGGTCCCCTTCTTTTCTAGGCATTCATTATGTTAAGCTGTACTCAGTCTATATCTTGTATTTTACACTTCGAAAAAGTCTTTTTTCCCATTGGCTTAACATGGGCACCAAATTTAGCGATTTTTGAGATTTCAAAACACAATAACTTCCGAACCGGAAGTCGGATCGAAATTTTGTTTGCAGATTCGGATTCCTGAGATAATTCTACACTTATATGATGATTCACAGTAGAATTTGGAGAACTTTTTATGTTCTGACCTACTTTTCGGACACCATATCTCAAAATCGGTAAGAGTAATCAAGAAACGGTTTACCATTCGTAATAAGCTTTTTCTAAGGAACATGATGGAAAAAACCCGGAGTGAAAATATTGAAGGATGACTGAGAAAACTTGTAAAATAGTGAAAAACCACGATTTGACCTAGTTCTTGACCTTTGACCTAGATAAAAAGTTGACCTAATTTCCCAGAAACTAGGCCTCATTACCTAGTTGACTGTGTTAGCAGATTTAAGTAAGTCCTTCTAGTTACCGAGAAAACGTGACAAGAGAGAAAGAATAATAACTAGATTTTGGAAATTGAACGAGTTCAATTTCAGACTCCAGATCTAGACTTTTTTTTAGCCGAGTCATCCAGAATAAGCCAAGTCATCCAAAATAAGCTAAGTCATCCAGCAAAAGATGGATGGATGGATGGATGGATGGATGGATGAAAAAGGAAGGAAGGAAGGATAGGATAGAATAGGAAGGAACGATAGGATAGAATAGGAAGAAGATATAAGAATAGAAAGGATAGGAAGGAGAG